ACATTCAATTCCAAACAAAAACAAGAATAGAAACTGGACCCATTTCATCAAATGGTTTGCGATATTATATTTGGGATGCACTATTTCTTTTAGGCTTTTCACAAACTAGCTCTTTTGGAGAGGGGAAACCTGTTATAATTGGAGGAGGTTGGAGGAGATCATGCCACAATGAAATTAAAACCTGTTATAATGGGTCAAGTGACCTTTTTATAGGTCAAACGATAGTTTATGCCCTTAATGTACCAAAAAAAAAAAAAGTTGTGTGACCTTTTAAAATAAACACAAAAAGTTTGATGGGCTAATATAACATTTGCCATTTTCTATTATGGTCAGATGGTTAAAGATCTAAAGTCGTGGTTCGGGCCTTTTAGGTTCAGATATATACAGTTCACACAATGATTCTGATTTAAGAGAGTTTAATTTCTCTTATTTTGATTTCCTTTCTTTGTTTACGTTCTAATTTCTGATTTATGGTTACTGTGCAGTGTAATTCCTGAATTATGTTATCTGAAAGTGTTTTTGTTATTGTTTCAGAAATTGGAGCATTTCTTGTTGGCGTAGCAAAACATTTTTTGTTAGAAAATCTGCTTATTTAGGTTTGATTTTGTTTATTTAGCTTTGATTCTTGTTCGAAATCTGATTTTTTGTGGTTCCTTTCTTAAATTATGTGTTATGTCAGTTTCTTGATTATTTTTAATATTTGGAGGCAGCAAAAAGCAGAAGGTATATATTTATTTCATTCTTGTTATTAGATAGTAGCTTTAAAAAAGTAAATTCTTATTTATGATTGTCTGATGCATTTTGCAGATCACCTGATAACAGAAAGGAGAAGCTATATATTTACCTGATTCTTGCTATTAGATAGTAGTTTTGAAAAATGAATTCTTATTTTCTAATTTTATAATGTATTTTCCAGATCACTTGACAATTGACATCTTGAAAGTGGAGACAAGAACATAAACTTTATAGATGGTGTATCTTTCTTTAATTACAGATTTGTTGAGTTAATCATGTTTCCATGCTCAAAATTGTATCTCCGCAGTATAATAATTCCAGAAAGATTGAATGGATTAGCAATTTGAACTTTGAAGTATCAATAGTTACTTTTTACAAAATATTGATTATTGTAAAATAAGTGATATTTTTGCTTTAGAAAATACACAAAGACATCGTTTTAGGTTATTTTTATAGATTTTGTTTGTATTATCATTTTTATTATTAAATTTATTGTATTTTCTATTTTATAAATGTTTTATATATATGCTTTGTCTATTGTATGGTACATATGTAAGGGCACACTAATTTTATCTCTCATCGGGTATTAAAAACCAATGGACCGGCCCAGTCGGTGAGCAATACCAAAGTCCAACCCTCGATATGACTTTCTAACCTAGTCGTTGCTCATTTATGCATCGTACCTTATGGACTACTCGTTAGGAGGAAATTAGGAATTCGATATCCACCTTGTAGGAGAAAGGCCACAAAGCAACAACATGCAGTTCATCGGGGGAAAAACATTTGTTTATTGATAAGCGACATATACTTTGTTGATCGATCATTAATGATGATGAATATGAAATAGTAACAATACAAAAGGAGAGGAATAACATTATGTTATGATATGGTAGGAGGCGACTTTGTTGGTGAGATAAACAAAAAGCATATTAAAAAGGAACATAGTTAAAATAACCATCTTACTACACCATGATGTTTGGGAATTTAATTCATTTTGGTATAGGTATTTTTTCTCGGAATGACATTTTTCATGATTTTTCAGGGGATTTAATTTATTCTAAAGATAATTCTTTTTTTTTCATGATATTTTAGAGGGGAATTTAGTTCTTTCTTTTCTTCTGACCAAACATGGGTTTTCATTATATTTAAATTCGAATTCCATCAAAATTTCACAAAATGAGTGAATTAATTAAAGAGTTGAGATCGTATATTTGGAAAGAAACTATTGTGTTTTAAGTTGGCAACAAACGTATTTGATGTTTTAAAATGGTAACTAACTTATGTTTTCTATATCTTTACCTGTTATTGTTATCGCATGTTGAGTAGGTCATATTCTTTCTAACTTTACATTTTGGCCCAAATTTTAATTTTTTTTATGGATTTTATCTAAACATTTTCACAAATTTAGTTTAATATACAAATATGTTTCTTTAAAAAAAATTTAAGACTTTTTTTTTATAAATTTTTACAACTTTTTTTAGATTTCTTTTTCTTACTTTTTATAGTTTTTTTTAAAATTCTTTTACAACATGTTTTAAACTGTTTTTACTATTTTTTTTCACATTTTCATATAAAAAAATTATAATCTGCATACAACTCTTTTTAAACAAAATTTATAATATTTTAAAATTGTTTCATAGATTTTTTATAACGTTTAAAAATAATTTCGTTAAAGAAAAGTTGTAAATAAAGTTTAAGAAAAATATATAAGCAAGTTTAAAACGTTGTATTGACTGTTTGCTATGAATCGTTGTATGAACATAAGTCGTATGAAACGTTGTAAAAAAAGTTTTAATACAACGTTTTAAACTTATTCACACTTTCATACGACTTATCTTTGACGAAAGTAATTTTTAAATGTTATTAAAAAGTTCCAAAAGTTAAATAAATCTATGAAACGTTTTAAAAATATTATAAAAAAACATTTACAAATAATTGTATGGAAGTTATAAAAAAAAATTATATGATATGTAAAAGTAAAATTCAAAGTTGTAAAAACAGTTTACAACATTTTATACAAGAGTTTTAAAAAAACTATAAAAAAAATATTAAAAAAGGTTGTAAAATATCATTAAAAAGTTTTGATTTTTTTTTTAAATAAATTTGTAAATTAGAGTAAATTTAGGATGAATTCGTAAAATGTTCGAACCAAATTCGTAAAAAAAATTTAAACTTTAGCCAAAAATGTAAAATTAGAAAGATGCCTATTTAACCTGGGATAACATGTAAAGATACAAAAAGTTTAATAGCTGCCACCCACCACCTCATGTTTTAATTCAGTTCAAATAAGGTCTTAATTGAAGGTTTCAAGTTTCAAGTTAGGGCTTAATTTGGGTTTCATTTTTTTTATACGATTTGATTTCGATCAAGTTTTATTTAAAAAGAAACAAAACCGGTGAGTATTTCAGGTTTCAGTGTAGCGGTTGTAGTTGTACAATACAAATAAAAAAAAATTGATAAAAGGCTATCTAAAGTTTTTAAATTGTAAAAAGTTTTGGTAAAACTATAGCAAAATGGATACGACATGTGGTTACATATCTTATCAAAATGAACAGCTTTTGTGCATCTCAACATTATATTTTTTTTCTTTTAATTTTATACGTATTTAGGAAGAATTTGGTTTGCCGGATTTCACATGTTTTTAACAAATATTGGGATTTAGTTCTAGTTTTCCATTACAAACATTTCCTTCTTGTTATACAATACTCAAAAATACCTTTTTTATTTTTCAAATATATATATAATTGAATTTTTTTTACCAAAAATTAGTTTTAAAATTATCATTTAAAGAAAAGTGCATTTCCATCCTCTTATGTATAATTGACTTTCGACTTTAAGAGACTACTAAAAGGGGAATTTAAATATATATATGCAATTATCAATCAAATTCAAAGCTAACCTGAAATATCAACTTACCAAATGTGAAGTTGTAATCAGGCATTACTGACTTTACTGATTTGGACGGAGTCGGAATTCAAAATTCCATTCCAGGATAGGAGGTATTTGGAATTCAATTCTGTGGGAATCTTTTAAATTCCATGTTCGATAGATTTCATAATTCCTAATTCCTAATGAGGGTGGAGAGTTGTTTAAAGGACATATTTTATTCAATATTCATTCAAGAAACATTCTACAAACCAAACATGTCCACGTAATGAGGGGCAATCTTGTCATCACATTACTATCTGCAGATTATAGCATAGTTTTGCTAAGGTGATAAATGTTACTAGTTCTATAACAGTATAATCATTATGTTTTAAAAGAAATTATTAAGTCCTGTTTGATTTTCTTTATTAAGATAACAATACTATCTTTATATATACTGGGATGTCAATTTAACAAAGATCAGAGTGTTGGTGTTACAAACAGAAAAAAGAAATTATTATTATTATTATTATTTCTTACCTGCTAGAGAGTTAAGATGAGTCTTTTCCTCCAAGTGTCTGAATTATAGCTTCTAGAAGTTTAATCTCATTATCCCGTTTCAAAATCTCATCTTGTTTTGCTCTTAACTCTTCCATGTGCAATTCAAACACTTCTGCTTACCAGAAAGATAATGGAAATGTCAATCACAGAATTTAAAGAATGGCAAAATGAAAAGAACTATCAAAACCCAAAGAAATTAATCATATTTATTTAGGATCATCTAAAATAATTTACTTGTGGTATTCTCAAGCTCCTTGGTGATTTCTTGTGCTCTTAACTCAGCAGCCTTTTGACCTGCTTCAGCATGTCGTTTTTCTGTACGAGCACGAGCTGCAGCTGAAATGGCAGCATCCAGTTCTCTTTCTAAAGTCTCTACCCTTTGTTCAAGAACCTGCACAATAATACTCAGATAAGGACTCTAATTATCGGACAACGGGAGTAACTGATAAGGACTCTAATTATCCGACTTTAGAAGACGATATCATTCAATTGCAAAGAATAAAGAGAGACGATGTCACTACAGTAGCAGAGCCCCAATTCAAGCCAATCATACATTGCCCACCAAATTAGGTCAATTAGACTTGTATACAAGAGCATACCATGGGATTTAAATTGATTGAACGAATTAAATTCAGTGAAACGTATCACCACATCAAAAGCAAACTTCAAACAGCGCAACGACAATCACATATGCGGTTTAATCGACGGAATTCGGCTGAATTTTATCAAAAGCATAAAAATCAGATGATTCGATGCATCGGCAGACCATATATGCAGTTTAATTCAAATTTGACAAGCAAGTTATTCAGGAAGTTATTGTGATTTGGCAACGAATTATGCAAGAATACAAAAAAAAACCTTGATAGTACGGGCTTGATCGGAGGTTAAGGAGGCTTTGTTGAAAGTATCTTCATCGACGTAGACAGCTTTCTTGATGAGTAAATTCTCGAGGGAATCAAGATTGTTAGATATCTCGGATAGATTGGCGATCGCAGCGCTCCATCTCTCGTTTCCTCTCTCCTCCATTAATACGTCCCTCCGGTTTGTTTGACGCTCTTCCTCTTTTTTGTACACATATGCCGATTTCTTCTCGCACCCTTTTCTTTTTTAATTTTGTGATTTACCCATTTAATACAAGCAATTTAGGGGATTTAAACATGATAAATGCCCCTTTAAATTCTTATACAAGCAATTAGGGGACTTAAACATTATAAAATACCACTTTAATACAAGCAATTTAAGGGGTTTTAAACATGATAAAATACCCCTTTAATACAAGCAATTTAGGAGGATTTAAAAAAAGACTAATTTTATAAAGTTGCGATTTTCTCACCATTTATTTCATTACATTTCAGGATGTTGAGGAAACCTTTAAATTCTATAACCATTTGTCTGTATTCATTTATTGTAGATTTGAATCTTTGTTTGGTACTGTCTTCGAATAAGAAAACATTTATTAATTTTTTTCTAAATGTTTTATTGTCTTTGTCGTTGCTTACTTTCGGGTCTTCCAATACGCTAACACCCTCTCTTCCTCTGGGTCCTATTTATATTTGGGACGTTCCCTTTTCTTTTAGGCTTCACTTGAAATTCTTGAACATTAGGATCAGGCAACGGTTAGAATTGTGTTTAAGGAACATTTTCAAAATAGACGAATTCTAGTTGAGATTAGGATTGGAATTGAGATTGGAGATGGAATTGGTTTGGATACATAATATGGTACACACCCATACTGGGATAACGGAACATAAGTGGAGATATAGATTGGACAATCTCTTTGAGGTTAATAAAAAGATGAAGAATTGGGTTTTTCTTATTGATTTTTTTTTTGTTATTTTGGAGAGTACATGAAGACATATTCAAGTACCCAATAGAGTAGAAAGAAATAATATAATTTTGAAGTTTAAGAATGATAAAATTTGGTATAAGTTGTTGGTATATATTATGGAGAAAATGTTGGTATATTTTTAAATATTGAATGTAAAAAAACGGTAATATTGGTAAATAAGAAAGAGAAAAACAGTTTGAAAAGAATAGAGAAAACATTGTAAGAAAATGTCGATTTTAGGTTTAAGCTCAGAAGCCGAGGTCTTGCCCGGTGTTTGCTCATTTGCTGAGTGCCGACTGCCAACTATAAGGACCAAAACTGTTATAAATTTCCAAAACTTGGGCTAAAACTGTGAAAAAGTGATAACCACATGGACCAAATCTGTAATTTACCACACCGCCTTCCTTGCGATATGAAAAATAACGAAACGAGGAGTGCTGTGTTTTGAACAACGATCCCACACCACGCACATGGAGGCGCAACCCTCTCGTAAGCGACCGCTCTCAGACAACGACGACGGTGGAGATGCTGATGAAGTCAACCGAAAACCTCCGTAAGCCACTTTCACCTTTCTCTTATCTGCTTCTTAGATATAGATTTATTATTGTTAGGGCTTGCGTTCGACTGAATTTGATCTTCGGTTTGAGTTAATCCAGTTGTTCAAGCTTCCTTAGTTTTTCAATTTATTTGCTCACAAATCGATAGAATGAATGAAGTTGTGGTTTTCGTCGTTTTTTGAAGGAAAACTCTGCAATCCTAGCTACATTGAGTTGTTTACATAAAATTATGTTCGTAAGTTTTGCAGCGCAAATTCCCTTGAGCTCTTGCTCTGTGAGTTGCAAAGGAAAAGCATGTTTGATTTGAGATTATTAGAAAATTGATTGGTTCTTGTATTGACCTATTGCTCCCTAACTTAGTGATAGCAGAGGGAGATTCTTAACAATTTGGGACTTCAAATGCTTGTTTCTAGGAGTAATTTAACTAGGTACTTTATTTAGAATTTGCATCTATTTTCGTTGGGGTTATATTTATTTTATGTATTTGCAGGCAAAAGAAGGTGAGATTTCCAAAGGGAAAGAAGGTGAAGCCTGGAGATGAAGTGGTGGCAGCTGTACATGTTCCTCAAGTTGCTGAAGATGAACCTACTGAGCTGAAAGATACCCAGCTAGTTGCCAAAGCAAGATCCAAGAGACGGAATCAGGATAAAATTGGACTCAATAATGATGAAACTGGAGATCTTCTTGATGTTGTAGCAGCGGCTGAAATGCATTATAAGGTATTTTAATCTCCATTTTTCTGTATGCTGATTCTTGTTATATTATGTTCATGTTTATGTTTAATTTTAATTTCGTTTGGCAGGATAACGAGACACTGGAAGATGATGGAGTTCAGCTTGAACCTTTCAATCTTGAACAAGAAAGGAAAGAAGGCTTTTTCGATAAAACAGGAAATTATGTTGAGTATGTTACTAATGACATCAAGGTACAGTATTACATGTGAATTCTTGGTTGCTTTTAATTTCAACATTTCCCTTATTACCCTCATTTTAATTGAAGTATCTTTGTAGGATGCTTGGCTTGATAGCATTGATGCTGAACCAAATCTTGCAAAAATACACTCTATGGATACAGATGATGTGGTAGAAGCTGCTGACCTGTCAAGTCAAGATATTGGAAATATCAAGAGACGAATTGCTGATGTGCTTCAACCTGGGGAGACAGTAAGTTTCTTGTTATGTCAAATTGTTCAATTCTGTTTTATTATTTTTCAAACTGATTGATGAAAATAATAAGTATAATATTCTTTTCAGGTGTTGCAAGCTTTAAGAAGGCTGAAAGGAAGTTCCAATAGAAAGGAAAAGATGTCAGCTGAAACAAAAGTTGTGTTTGATCAACTAACTGAAGATGCCATGAAACTGATGGAGGATGGTGACTACAGTTAAGATAATCTTCTTTCAACATTTTTCTTTGTTCTTATTATAAATTTGTCAACATTCTGATTTATGTCATAAATATTTCTCCAGATGTGTATGATGAAAAGCAGGAGGTCTTTCAGAGGGAAGCAGGTAATTAAGTTTAATAATGATTTGAATATCAATAATACAGTATTTCTTGTATTCTTAATTATTGGGAATGTTATTAGTGAAACTCTGATTTCATTTTTTATAATTTCAGAGGGATTTGAGAAGCTAGCACGTGCTAGAGGGGAAGGCACCTCTTCTAGTTCAGGAAACATGCAACCTAATTCCTCTGGAATGAGTGATTCCGGTCTCAATGGAATACCTTCTGCTGATAATACTGCAAACAATGAGGATGATTCTTTTGACATGTTTGCTGAAGATGATGACAAATCTACTGTTGATCCATCTGCTGGTAAGAAGACATGTAATTTTTTTGTTTTTTCATTTGGATGGTTTATTACGTTATTGCCCCTCAGTTCTGTTTTCACTTGCAGGCATTGGATCTACAGAAAACGATTATGTATTTGATGAGTCTTCAGGGTATGCATCTCTTTTTGTTTTCCATTCAGATTTATATTTTAGTCAAAAAGAAACAGCATCTTACTGTTTCTGTATTTTTATTTTTTAATTTTTTTTTTTGCAGTTACTACTACAGCAGCAGTTTAGGATATTATTATGATCCATCTTCAGGACTGTATTGCAGTGCAGCATCTGGACAGTGGTAATATATTATATAATGTGGTCACTATTTTCAACCTGATTTAGTATTATTTGAATTATACTGATTTGATTTGGAGATAAAATGTGGTTATATATAAAGTAATGTGCTTGTGTTTTGTATTTTCCAGGTGTTCGTATAACCAAGAAACTGGTGCCTATGAGGAGTTGCCATCAGGGGAAGGCAATGGAAATGGAATTGCAACATAGTGGAATGGAATTGGAATCACTGTTTTTTTTTTTTTTTATTGATTTCTCCTTTTCTTGTACAAAGTGAAGAGGATATATATTATATATGTAACATTCGCACATTCCTAGGCTTCTTTTGTTGTACTTGAAGTGTCTCTAGTTTTGGTAATTTAAATCTTTAGACACAATCTAACTCATGACTATATGATTTATGGATGTGAAGAGAAAAATGTGATGTGACAAAAAGGGTAGTTGAGTTATATGTGTTATGGTTTTTGATGTGTCAACCTGAAACATTGTTTTAACTTTTTTTTTATTAGTTTTGATTAATAGATTTATTTTTTTGACAGTGGTAATATAATTTCCTGGACAGAAGAATCCACGGGATATCTATGTTATTGTTATGTATTTACTAAAATATACGTCCAGTATGCATTAACATGTGCATGAAAATCATGAATGGATAGATATTGTCATATTTATCATCGACCTTAAAAGGCCCGTGCTTTGTTTCTCTTTTGCGTCTGTATTTTTGAGCATCCATTGGTAGAGACAATGATGATCAAACCATTGGTACAAATACAATTTAAGCAATTTCAGATGGTATATTATCATTTTTACTAAGACATGATATATTATTAGATTGTCTTGAACCCATAACAGATATATTCGAGTGTGCAACATTGTTTTAACTTTTTGCGCTAAAAAAATATATTTCTGGCATGTTACTGTATTCAAAAATTTAAATAAAGTTGAAACGGATAAGGAAAGTGCTTTTGAGCCCAATGATTTGGATCAGCCCAATGGACCATGTGAGTTGAAAGTTTACAAGAGGAGGCCTAAACCACGTGGAGATTGACAAATGGAATAGCTATGATTTTCTGTTAGAGGGAATGATTCTCTATATATTTCATAAGTGCATGTCCTTTGCGTAATCTTTTGGAATTGTACTGATTGTATTCGGCTATATGCTTCCAATGGATCTTCTCTGATTCAGTTTCCTATCAGAAACATAAAGATTAGAGTTTACATTTACTAATAGATTAAATTAACTCACAAAACTACAATTTAAAAGACCAAAATCGTGAATAGTATAACAAAACAAATTGATTCTATGCTACCAAAAATTAAAAGTGGTACAAAAAATAGTGCTGGGTTGAAAATGATTGAAAGATAAGGGTGGGAGACGCCAAGTTACCATTGGATTTCACGCGCCTACTTTTATTGATTAAACGTAGAGTGTTGTTAAGTCATAAGTGTGTACGTAGGTAGCTCAAGTATTGATTACTTGTTTGTTCCAAAGATACTATACTGATAGTGAGATCCTTATGTTTTATGTTATGCAAGTAAAAACAAAGTTGTATTGCTATGAACATGAAAAAAAACAAAGTCACTACTATAAATTATTATTATTATTACAAATGTTTTTCTGTATTTCCCCAAAACAAAAAAGAAGAGCAGGCATGGTATGCCCACGAGAAACTTACCATAACTTCTAGTATGTTCAACATAAAAAAAAAAAAAAAAAAAAAAAAAAACCTTCATAAAAGCCACCAATTTAGAGATTATACCCCAGAAGGAACAACAGGTAACATTTTTCATCATCATAGCCATCAACCCCAATCTATCTTTCTTTATTCTTTTCCCGATCATAACTATAAAAATCCAGTGTCATGTCAAGTCAGGTAAGTACCAAATCGCAACATCCAGACAAAAACTAACTAAATATTAAACAACCATGGCATAGAGGTAATGGTAATAAGGTACTACTGGTTTCAGCAATAAGTAATACCAAACACTACACTACACTCCACAAACACAAATCATTCTTATATCATAATACTGATGAAAATACCTCCTCCTACAAATCACTATAATCATGGAGGGATCCCATCCTTCCTACCAACATGCATGCCTTCAAAAGAGGACACCTTTTATCACCTGTCACTCACTCCTGCATAAAATCAAATAAGAATAACGAAACACCACTACCACTACTCAATTTGCTCTTTTAATACTACTGACTCAGTAGATCAATAAAACAAAATCAATATTGATATCTGTAACCCCTTTCCCTACTATCATCAATATCATCATACCTATCCCAACTCCTGCTGCGCCTTTTTCTCCTGTATTCCCTGTCCCTGTCCCTATAATAATTATCATGGTATCTGCATCACAAAACAAACTTCCATCATCAACATCTTACATGGTGATCTTAATATAAAAGATGGATGAATCATGAAAGAAAGAAAGAAAGAACCTTTGTCTAGGACTACGACTTCTGGACCTGCCTCTTGCCCTGGGAGACTTATCAATCACCCTTCCTCTATGACTGCAAATATAATCAACACAAACAACCAAACATTCCTAACTCAAAATAAAGTAAAAGGATTCTAGACTAGACTGCAAGGAAAATAAAATGCTACAAACTCACTTTCAGAATCAAATCAAACAGAACTATCTTGTAAAAAAATAACATCAAAATGAACTATCTTGTACCAAAGGTTCCTTTCTACTTTGTAGTATTCCCCTTTTTGCCACTTTATAGAATACGTGTACTTAATTGGAGGTATAGCAAAAACTAGGCAACAAAAACAAGTGAGGATCTTCATCAATTTCATGCCAAAGTTTTGCCATTTTGATAGTGTAGCACGATAAGATAACACCAGAATAATATGAGACCTATAAACTTACATCCTTTCTGCATTGGGTCCATATTTTGCAAACTGAACTGTGATTTCTCGGCCATCAACTTCTCTTCCTGATAACAGCATAAAAGGAGACAGAAACAGCCGATTACAAGGAGATTCCAGAATGTATTTTCTCCTGATGATAAAAACATTGCCTTCTACGCATGTTAAAGACCAAATAGAGGAAATGATTATTAATTACCGTCCAGCCTATCTACTGCCTTCTCTGCTTCATCTGCATACTTGTAACGAACGAACGCAAAGCCACGAGAATCACCAGTCCTAATCCAAAAAGATGATAGTAAGTAGTAAATAGTTGCTATAGTTTTAGGGCTGGGATTGGGAAGATGATAATTTTAATCTTCGTTTTATCCTTCCATCAACTTTTCCATGAATAAGAGACCTTACGATTTAAACGATATAACAAACAGAAGACGGAGATATACATTATACAACATACCTTCGATCTTTGGGGATGAAAATATCAACAACCTTTCCGTACTTATCAAAAAGCGGGAACAGATCGTCAGCCGTCGTCCCTGTATATACACGCATACAATCAATCCAAACACGAACGATTCTTTTCTCTTGAAAAATAAATCAATAACATCACCAAATGAACACCGAAGAAATTTAAGACGATGATAGCACAAGTAGCATGAATATCAGAAGACTTACGGAAACTAATGTTAAGAATGAGGAGAGAGTAGGTGTCGGAAATATCCGGCGGTCCTGATCGGCCAAAGTGAGACATCGATTGTTTCGTTCTTGCCGCTAACTATAAATTTGAACACGCCGATTTTGATTGATCGAAGAGTGAAAGAGTTTTGAGGATTTTCAGGGAGGTAGGGTTCGTGAGAATTATTTGGAGGAGGTGCATTTCATCGTGCCATTGTAAAGAAGCCTCCGGAACATGGAAGCGATCGTAAGTCGAAACTCATAAGAAAGAGAATGTCATCGCCAAGTGTCACTCTCCAGTCGTTTGCTGTTTTCAGGCTGAGCTAGGGCCTAGTCTGATGAGCTGTAATATTGGCTTCATTTAAAAAAAAATGATCAACTAACACCATGGTACTATGGTTTTGGATGGAATGCAAGTTGGTTTCTTAAAATATATGATTTTGGTCCCTAACCATTAGGATGAGTATAGGTGGGTACCCGGTTAAATTTGACGAAACTGGAATCGGAACCGGAATCAAAACCGGAGGTTCCTAAGATGTTGGAATCAAAACCGGAACCGATGATATCGGTTCTTAATATTTTGGAACCGGAACTGAAACTGGTGGTTCCAGTTCTGGTTCCGAGTAACCACTTTAAAAAAAATTAGAAAAATTTAATTGCATATAATTGTCACAATTAAGTAATAAAAGATCTATGATTGTTAATATATAAACAATTTTATCATGTCTAATAATTCGCTTCCTCATGATGATACATTGTCTTGTTTTATGAATTTTATCATAAAAATAAGGCTAATAATTTTGCTAAAATCTATTGAATCACAAAAAGTTTTATGATATTCATACATGGTAGTTTTAACTGTTTAATAACGAAGTTGCAAAGCCTCAACCTTTTTGTGTTTATGCTGATAAAATAACTTGGCAATATTAATATCATGTTGTTTAAAGTTTTCAAAATATGTTAGTGCTTGAGTGTTTAACATTGATAAAATGAGTTGTTCTTTGTTGAAGTTATTGTCACACGTCACAAAAATGACGCTATATTAGGAACAAAGTTTATATAGTTCACAACATTCTTTAACACAATCAAAGACACGACATTATATATATATATATATATATATATATATATATATATATATATATATGTACAAAAAAAATCGGTTCAAACGGGTACCCGGCGGGTAGCGGTTCCAAAAAAATGAGAACTGGAACCGCTTAAGCGGTTCCAAGAATTTAGGATCCAAAACCAGAACCGCTTAAGGCGGTTTCGATTCCGAAACCAGCAATTCCAAGGCAGTTTTGGTTCCGAAAGCGGGTACCCTGTTCCGATGCTCACCCCTACTAACCAATATAAAAAGATCAATATATTTTTATAAGATTTTTTATGAGTATAGGCCTCACTCGTTCTTTTTCTTCCTTCTTCATTGTCTTCGGGAACTCCATCATTAACACTCTTTTTTCTCCGGCCAACTTCTCTCCCTTCCCATTATGTTGTACATCTATGCCCTATTGTGTTTTTGATGATCACATACACAACACAAGGTTCTTAAATAAAACTAAATTTTAGGCTCTATTGCCCCAATGCATTCCTATTTTCAGTTCCAAATGAGGTGAAGGAAATCTAATTCTTATACACAAAACATTTTGGAAACTCACTATCGGTCTCACCAGCCAAACTCAGGCCAACGACTACACAACCACCTACCATCGTATAAGACTTTATTGAAATCAACAAGTTCATCTGCTAAAAATCTTCATGACGACAACTTCAACTTCAATAGGAGACGGTGTTGCTTCAGTTGTCATATCATATGATATCTTCTTCAAATCAATATCACAACCCATTTTAGTTACCATCTCATCAGTCGCCTGGAGTTGAAATTCTTCACTAGATTAAAGACTGTTTCATTCAAAATCGGAGATTACTTGGTTATAAGAGATCTCAGAAGAAAGAATCGATGCTTTATTTCAATTATTTTCCTTTTTCCTACCGCTTTTTCTCTAGTGTTCCGATCCGAGGAAAAAAAACACCCAGTCGAAGGTTAAGCAAAGGATACGGGAAGGTGTCCTGAAGCCACTGGAAAACTGCCTAGTGGTACCAATTTTTCTTCAAATCAGCCAATGGTGATGGTGCTTCACCAAAAGAGAAAGATCGGAAGAAGAAAGTAAGTTGGAAAAGATGTATTGGCTTGGAGGGTAGGGAGAGTGTAATAATAATAATAATATAAATTCTTCATAATGGTATATTTGCCTTTTTATGTTGGTCACGAATTGCAATCACGACAAACACAAACATCTAGGGGTGTAATTGTTTTGATTTACTTATGAGATTTGATTACATACTCGGATCTGATTTACTAACCGAAACTTCAATCTGTTTATGTGTATTCCGCTTTGGGCAGCCTCTCAGGCTCAAGATCAAGGTACTTTTAGCTATACAATTTGGATTAATTTTGTTGTTAATTTTAGACACTTACTCGATAATCATGCTAATGAGGAGCATTTTCTGCAGAGGAAACTTGCTCAAAGATCAAAAAAAGAGTAAAATCCGCTTGCAAGTCCGTTTCTCTAGTTTTTTTTTTTTTTTTTTTTAATTTAGGTTTTCAGTTGTAAGTTTGATGGATTCGAAATCTGGTTTCATGACACTTGATAATTTCAAATATGCACTTTCAAGCATCCAACGATAGCCAAAGTTAGATTGCTTAAAAGGTATGATTTCATATCTTTTGCCATTCCCTTTTCATTTCTAGATTTAAGAAAGTTGTTTTGGTTTATGAAATGACAACAAAGATATATGTGGGATTTGGTGTTTGAATTAGAAAATGTCATGGTAACTAAAGTAAAGTTGGTTTATGAAATGGTAACTAAAGTAGAGTTTGGCTTATGAATTGTGCATACTAAAAGTGTAAGGGTTGGAATGTAGGAGTGATTGAAGCTCTTACACTTGGATTGTTATTGTTTTGAAATTGAACAAGTGAATGTTCATTCCATTTAATATTTATTGAAATGGAGTGAAAATTTACATTGTAAACTCATCTTTAATTATGAAAGTTTTTATGTTTACAATTCATGTCATGAATTTAACATTAGTCCGGCTTTTCATTTTGTTATATGTACAGTTCATCATTTAACTAAATTTTTTTGTATGGTATGTCATTTATATATAAATATAGGATGCTTATTTTAAAATTTTTTAATACTTCGTACCATGTCTTCTAAGCTTCGGACTACATGTCCGCTTTGTGACAACCCAAAAATTTCCATTCTGTAAAACCATCCACAGCAATTGAAGTCAAATCTATTTCTGCTAACTTTCAAGCTTTGGGGATAAGTTTGAGTGTTTTAAAGTTAATGCTTCAGAAGATATCAAGAGAGAGGATACCCTAGGGTTTATTATGTATCAATAAGTGCCCAAAACTTCAAGAGTTTGGAATTTACGGTCCAAAAATGTTATTAGGACCGAAAACCCTAAAGAATATATAAGTAAGACTTAGCCATTTTGGTTCATTTCTTTCATTTCCAACTAGAGAAAACCTGATTTTTCTCCCAAGGATCTTCATCCGCTCACCCCCAATTGTAAGTACTTCAACCCTAGAGTGTATTAAAGGGTACTACATGACTAGAAAACATGGAAATCATCCATAAATCCCAAGGAAAAGGTGTTCACGGCCCAAGATCCTCTTGGACCGTGAACACTAAATTTGAGGCCAAAAGTGTGCCCTATGTCCCTATAGACCTTGGAACCAAACATATAACTACCCTTGATATGTATAAACCTTAAAATCATTAAGAAACAAGGGTTAGAAGAGAGTTCACGGCCAAGGATGTTCTTGGGCCATGAACTCCCTTTTATGGTGCCAAAATGCCCCAAGTTCCTTCGCTGAGCCAAGAGACTAGCCTAGCACTTTACCTTGATGTGTTTAGGACCCAAAACAATCAAAATACCATCACCCATAGGTGATTACGGCCGCACACACATGCCAAAATGGTCCAAGGGCCGAAAACTAAAGTTAGGGGTGTTTTGATGCCACAAACACTTCCTAAGGCTTAGACTTGAATTTAGGATGCTTCATTATGACCTTTAGGACCCTAAACAACCCTCATAAACATAAATGGCCATGAGTTTACGGTTTTAAACTCATTAGGGCCGTGAACACCTCAAAAACTCCAAAGAAAGTGGTCTTCCTCATCTTAGGGTAGAGCTAAGGTCCCTAAATCATCCCATAGCCTTCAAACTTGCACTTACACATGAGTAATCATGAGTTTACGGCCGTAAACTCCCTTGGGCCGTAAACCCATGGTAGTAAACTCATGTGAGTGCCATTCTACCTTCCTTTGTTGAATCACATGTGATTCCAACACTTGGTCAAGGTCTTTCCTAGTCCTAGAAGCTGTTTCCTTTCATATAGTTGTTTATAAACACTATATTCATGTCAATATGTGTCCTTATATATCATTTAGGACTTATTGTGTCTCGGGACTTCATTTTTGGAAATTCTCATCCATACGCGCATACCCGTTTGAATCACCCACATCAGGTGAGTTCATACCCCGTAATGAATCTTTTAACTATTTTAACTGTTTTAAGGGGGGAATACAGGTTGAACACAATGATAATTGTGTAAATGTTTGTTGTTAAACATCTTTCAAAATGTTACTTATGTTATTTATAAGTTGTCAAAACATTTCAAAACTCTTTTAAAAGTTATGTTACTTTATAGTTATACAAACCTCTGTTTTTAAAGTACAAGCATAACTTAGTAGATAAATGAGTCTTTCCAGTAACAGTCCAGGTAGAACATTAGTAAACTATTATAGGTATAGTTTAGGAGAATGTTATTCATTACTTCTAGTACAATGAAGCACACAAAGAATCAATACCATAACAGAACAAACAGTGAAGAGAATCAAACAATACCATAACAGAACAAACAGTGAAGAGAATCAAACAATACCATAAAAGAACATAACAAACAGGTTAAGTTGCTATAGCATGAGAACACACAAACAGGATCTAATTATATCAATGAATCACTAACGCATTAGTGATAGTTATATTGGGTATACATGATCATATAACTTTAAATGTGAATTACACGGCTTGCAAGAAATTGTTGGGGTTGCGTTTGGTTCCCTAAATCTCTTTACATTGAGAGCGTTTAGTAGGGTTTCTAGCTTTCACATTATGACCGTAATAAAACAAATATGTTTTTAGGTTATTAGTACATCCGCATGTCATTATAAACGACATCTATGTACTTACTTTTCCCATTACTTTCATAAAGTGTCAGTACCACTTGAAAGTTGATCTATTTTCTAGTCAAGATAGTTATAAACTAGGGAGAATATACTTTTACATTTGACAAAGGAGCATTTGGGTTTAACACAGATCAGACGATGCCTTGGTAGAAGGCTACGATTAAAGGTTAGGATCATAATGCTAGCTTTATGATTCCTTAATGTATACACTATAGGATACATATATAGTAATAGATTCCGATAGCTAATAGGATGTGTGCTCTTCACTTCATTTCCTGTTCCCGTTGGATATGGGCTTGGAATGAGGTCACTCAATCTATTATCTACCCGAATCTATATATATTTATGCTTAGTACCCATTAAGTCATCATAAGGGTACCAGGTATGGATCAGGTTATAGGACACAGAGTCAACACACAACTTTTCTAGTACAAAACTTACTTTTCAAAGTCAGTACTTTTGGTATACAAAACTAGAGATTTCCCATATAAGGGTCTAATCCATTTTATTAAGTCAGTACAGTTTTAGAGACTTTAGGTGAGTAACTCTATAACACCTTAGTTTATACACCATGTTTATATATAAAACTAATACCTAATAGATAGTTAAAGGTGTGTTTTCCGCCTTACTTCCTGTTCCCGTTGGATTGTGGGCGTAGGGCAGATTCACTCAATTAACTTTCTACCCGGTATCAGATTATATATAGCAGTATAAACAAAGCTATTATAAAAGTAGTCACCGTAGTTATTATTTTACTATAAGAAATATAGGTTTTCTTAAAGAACTTTTCATTAGATATAAAGGAACCATTACAAATAACTTCATGAGTAACAAGTGAATACACAAGGGTTATATATGACAACGATCTAACAACCAATGGAATGTATGCTATCCGCCTTACTTTTTGTTCCCCGTTGGGTTGTGAGCTTGGGGCAGATGCGCACAATCGATTGTTTGTTTACTCTGAGTATATATAACTTGTACCCACTTAGTACCCATAGAAAGGCTTGTAGTGTCATTTTACTTAACTTTCATTCAAGTAGGAAATATATGATTTTCTAGAAGAACAGGCGAACCTTTCAAAACATAACTTACAACTTACATCACTTTTACATACACATTTTCCACAACGCTTTACAGCTTAATCACATCCCTAAAATCTTATGAACTCACCAGCTTAATTGATGATCAACTCTTTCAAATAACTTGTATTCTCAGGAGACTATTAGACATGTGCTCGTGCTGGGGATTCAGAAGATGGAGCATTATAGCTTCAAGTCTTGTTTTATTATTTGTGTATGAATTCTATGTTTTGTGAACACACACATTGTAAACACTTTCTTTCTAAATGAAATGGTTGTTCTTTACTTGCTTACCATATACATATCTCGTGATACTAAACATGACGTCCTCCACCCCTGAACGTTTCCGTCGTTCCGATTTTGGGGT